GAATTTTGACCGGGTGGCGGCCGAAGCCTACTCTTAACGATTTTAGACCACCAAGGGATCTTTAACGTGCGCAACTTGCACACGGGCCCTCAGAGATTTTTCGCCCTTGTCCGAGAAGGCTAGGTATAGATCTTTCCTACCAGAAGATCAGGGGTGTGGCAGAAAGACAGCAGTAAGGAGGAGCTAAGGAGTAGCAGTAAAAATACTGCAGAAAGAGTCAGGAGCCCAGAGGAGGGGTCAAAGGAGGTGAAGGGGTGGGGGCATCTCTTTTTCTGTTGTTGTTTCTCAGTTCATGTGGTGTAAAGGTAAGGCTCTTCGCTATCTCTCTCAGATCACGTGATTTTGATTCCTATACCATTAAGTTTCCTTTTTTGGTTCATTTTTTATTGTTTTTTCCTTCGAGTATATTTTATTTACGATGACATACATTCTGAACAAGCTGTCAGTCCAACTAGAACACACACAGCATGTTTTGTCTCAGCTGTTAAATATCTCTTCGCTACGCCATTAGACAAGTCTCCATAGCATGTGAAAGTCATAAAACGTTAGACCAAAAGACAATTTAATTAATTTCGTTTAGAACAAAAGTAGGATTATCTGCGAACCTCCATAAGCCTCCAAGTCTTGTTGGCACCTGGCATAAGTCCAAGAGTATGAGATAATCAGATTTTTAAACAGACGAGCACCTAGCTCAGTTTACAACCGTTGTCCACGGTAGCAAAAGTGTCACCCGCTGACAGATCCCCGACAACATTGGGTAGCGCCGATGGCTCCAACACAAACTGTCATGTCAAAAATTAGCCCCAACAACCCCTGGGACACTCGAGAGAGGCTTCAGAAGAATTCAGCTCAGTTTTACTGTCTCTCCAACAACCCTTCAGCCTCATTTCTATCTCTTCAGCCTCGTTTCTATCTCTTCAGCCTCGCTCGCGAGTTCTCTGGAATGACACCAAGAGCTTCTGGCCTCGTTCTGGATTCTCCACAACCATCAGGTACACTTGAACCTCCTCTCACGCAACACTTCGGGGATCCTTCATGACTTGGCTGACTTAAGGCTCGGAAGGTGCCCCGAGAATGGCCCTGCAGGGCAAGGCGGGTGTTTGTGTGTGTGTTTGTGTGTGTGTGGGGGGGGGGGGGTGTTAATTTTATATTACCTTACAGTAGGAGGATTGGGTACTTACTGGAGACTCCTTGACATTACGAGGTTTGAAAATAAATATGGCATCTACGCAATCATCGTAGTGAAAGCGACTACTTTTCAGAGTTATTTTTGTTCTGTCTCTGGTAGATAGGCTTGAATGACGTTCACAATATTGTTTGTATTCGAATGGCTTGAAAAATTTTAAAATTATTTTCCCTTCCTTTCCACGAGGAGGATTGAGCTCTTGTTGGAGACTCCGTGACATTATGACATTTGTAAATAAACATGTTGTCTATGCCGTCATCATAGTAAAAGCGACGACTGTTTAGAGTTGTTCTTTTCTGTCTTTGGTAGGTAAGATCGGTTGACTTTTACACTAATATTCTTTGTGTTTGGATGAGTGGAGAAGTTTTACATTTCACGTTCCTTTACACTAGGGAGATAAAGCGCTTCTCGCAGACACACTGATAGAATGAAGTTTGAACATAAATAAAACATCGTAGTTGTGAAAGCTGATATTGTTTAGAGTTGTTCTTTTTGTCTTTTGTGTGATTAGATCAGTTGACTTTTACAATGATGTTAAAATTTGTATTTGGATGTTAA